AAACACCATGTCTATTAAACTCTTTTTTCGGTCTGAGGCCACATTGCCACCTTTGGAAGGTTTACAGGATGAAATATATTTTTTTTAAATGAGGTGCGTGATCATCATTTATATTAGTCCCCCCCATTAAGGAACTTTTTAGTGGCGTAACGATTAGTCACAATGAAAATGGAATTAGCGAACCAGGTTCAAATTACAAATGAATTTGCGTTCATTTCACACTATTACCCTAGGGAAAGGCATGAATGGTTGATTTCTTTCTCCATCCTTCTACAACTATGGGTAAAATAGCAGGGCAAACAGGCTTCTCTTGCCTTGGCTGGTAATTATTCTTGGAGAAAAAGAACCAGGAATGAAATTCACCATAACCAGTTCTTAACCAAAATTAAACAGAAACGGTTGTTGGGGTTTGAAACCCTACCTTGTGAAAAACATATTCGCTTTAATGTTACGTACGAATATAAAAAACAGGATGCACGACCGCCATGTTGACTTTTTTTTTTTGGGGGTAGGGGTTGTCACAGAGTTTTGTCAAATACTCATAAGTACTAAGTACTGGTACAAAGTACTAAGAATTATTATTATTTTATTTATTACTATTTTATTTGATATTCCACAAATTATTAGGGTTGGTATCCACATTGTTGTTGTTTCGTCATTTTAATATTTCGACAGATTTAATCATTGGCCTTCCTTTATTTCGATAGATTTGCGGTTCAAATGTCCCGTTTTGTCTGAAGTACTGAGTATCTTTGTTGCCATATAAAAAGTTTTATAAACGACATCAAAAAACAAAAAATTCTTTTTACACCTCAAAATTAAAAGTTCTTTTCTTTTTCTGTTGAATATGGCTCTTTTTTAATAATGGTATCATATTATATATATATATATATATATATATATATATATATATATATATATATATATATATATGTGTGTGTGTGTGTGTGTGTGTGTGTGTATATATATATATATATATATATATATATATATATATATTATATATATGTTTTTGACAGACAAAGAATGTCTATTATGTTTGATCACGAGCTGTTCTAAGCTTCGTATGGGTGCTTTGATTTCGGAAGAAAAATAAAGATATAAACTGTTCAACATTTCCATATTTTTATTATGCCGTTATTATCTTGCACTGTTTTTATCTTTATTTTCTCCCGAAATTAAAGCAACTATACGAAGATTAGAGCGGCTCATGATCAAACATAATAGACATTCATTTTCTGTTATATTTAGCAATATATGTTTGAATATATATATATATATATGTGTGTGTGTGTGTGTGTGTGTGTGTGTGTGTGTAATATTTGATAATTAAAAGGGATAAGTCTAAAGAGGATATAAATCCAAAGAGAGCTCAATGTAAGAACAGAGCAAACGTAATAATAATAAAAAAGGTTTCCTATCTCTTCAGACAAAAAGATTTAACAATTTGTTATAAAATTTGGGGGTCTGAAGAGATGGGCGTCTGATCCCGTGAAATAAATTATTACCAATGGATATCTAAGGCCTTCGTTTTCATCATCATCATTATATATATATATATATATATATATATATCCTCATCCTATTATTATTATTATTATTAGGTAAACGAATGACAAAATGCAAAAAATTCTTTGTAACCCGTTTCGAGCCGTAGAAGAACTTCATCAGACTAAAGTAATAGTTTTGTTGATGGAATTACGTATGTGTAGGAAGAGGAGGGGGAAATATAAAAACGCAAACCTCGGTTATAATTATGCACCGACAGGAAACGCTTAGATTTTGGAATTTTTACCGCATTGCACCGAATTTTTCCCACGTTATCATTCATTTGACTAAACTTTATATATTTCCTATTCTCCCATATTACACGCACACACACATGCGCGCACACACACACATATTTACTTGTTTTAAAAAGAAATATAGTCTATTAGTAATTAAGAGTGAAAATATTTTAAAATTGTAGTTAAATAAACGTATTCTAATCCAAACACCCCTAGAAAGAATCTTATTATAGAAGTACGAAAAAAATGCCGAAAATCTTTTTGTCGTTAATAAATAAATAAAAAAAACAGACGACATGCATTTAACGGATGTCAGAATTCGATGAAAAGAAAAACCCTACCCTCCCTAAACTTAAACTCCTTTTCGAACGTAACTCATAATTGATACAACAATAGTTAATAAAAATGAACACGCAACCGCCCCTGTCTGAATGATTCGATTTCTCTGTAGCCTTGAAAGCACGAAATTATGAATTTATATGTGCGTTTAAAACTCAGTAAATTTAAAAATTAAGTTATTCCAATATTCGCTTGAAGATGAAACGCGACTAATGCTTTTAATTTAATTATATAATTAAATTTGAAGTTTTTAGCCTCCATTTTAGAAACATGGTTATTACTGTGTGGCTAAAAAAAACATATTTTAAATCAGTTAATTTATAATATTTATGCTCTGTAAATTTACATTGAGCACTATTTTGTAAAAATAAAAATAAAAATATCAATAAGAACACTGGATTATATATCTTACTGGTCTTTCTTTTTTATTTTATACACATACATACTCATATATATATATATATATATATATATATATATATATATATATATATATATATATATATATATATATATATATATATATATGCAGGTCTTACCCAGTATCTTTATATAATGATTGTTGCACAATGAATATTAAATCATTTTATATGACAAACTATGCCGTATTATTGGTTATATTTTAAGAATTCTATAAACATCTAGAGATAGTAATTGCGCTTTTTTTACAACTATCGTGCATCCTACTCTGACAAGTGCATCTAAGCCCACTTAACATTAGCATCTAATAAATCCCGTTTGTCGCTTATAAACTGATATTTACGGATATTTACTTGCATACGTCTCTTTGCAGGTAGAGGCCTTGAAACTTCGAGTGTCATCATTTATTTCTGTTGACTTATCTTTGTCTGGAGGCACAACGACGTGTATTTGACAAGGTAGGCGTTGAGTCATAATTTCTAATGCATATTTGTTGGCTTGATCTAAACCTTAAATGGACAATAAGCAAGAAAAAGCAAATAGTTTGTGTTGCGGATGTAAACAGAGAAACACTATAAAGAATATTAAGAAGTTTCGCTGAAGACATGAAAGCAATCAAAATTAATTAAATACCACAAGTGTAGGTAATTAGGGCTGAAGAGTGCAGGGAATTAGGGCTGAAGAGTGCAGGGAATTAGGGCTGAAGATTACAGGTAATTGGAACTGAAAGGTACAGATAATTAAGGCTGAAGAGTTCAAGTAATTAGGGCTGAAGACTGCAGATAATTAGGGCTGAGGAGTGCAGGTAATTAGGGCTGAAGAGTGCAGGTAATTAGGGCTGAGGAGTGCAGGTAATTGGAACTGAAAGGTACAGATAATTAAGGCTGAAGAGTGCAGATAATTAGGGCTGAAGACTGCAGGTAATTAGGGCTGAGGAGTGCAGATAATTAGGGCTGAAGACTGCAGGTATTTAGGACTGAGGAGTGCAAGTAATTAGGGCTGAAGAGTGCAGGTAATAAAGGCTGAAGGGTACAGGTAATTAGGTCTGAAAGATTCAGATAATGAGAAATGAACAGGTCATATACTTGAAGGTCATTACCAGGGGGATTTAAATAAAAGAATATATTCATTCAGAACAATATTCCTCCAAATTCTGTCTACGTTGCCAAAAAGAGGTTTCAAAGACATCAAATTCATGGATTGACACCTAACATCTCCAGACCGAAAGCTCGTAGTTAACCATGATGAGAAATATATATGAGAATGGAAAAATATTTTCAAAGAATATCTCCTAAAACAATAAAAACGTGTCAATAATGTTAATTCAAATTCATATAAAAGTTAAAATCAATGGTCGGAAGGTTGATGGAGTTTGGCAAAATGGCAATGAGGTAATATTAACCTGTAAAATAATAAAATGATAATTTATTAAGCTATATTATTATTTCAATCAAATACATGGTTTTGTCGTCTATATATTTTGAATTTATTAATAAATAAAAATTCTAACTGTACACTGTCTGCTTCATAAAACATGACATTCACAAACCAATTTATTCTGAATTTAGATATAATCTGAAAAGTATGCAATATATTCACCATGTAAATATATTCGCCATATAAATATATGCTGAGCATTTTGTCAGCATCAGCTGTTTAATCCTAATTGTATTTTTCATAAAGTAACTTGCATAATAAAATCTGACATTCATAATTCTGGAGTGAACCAGTTTCTTACATACTAAGCATAGAAAAATGACCCCCCATTTCATGTCCAGTAATGATATATTTATCGTAAATATATTTATCGTAAATATATTTATCGTGAATATATTTATCGTAAATATATCTTGAAACTGTTACCAACATCGATTGGTTAAGTCTAACTTTGTTGCTAAAACATTGACTTGCATATTGAAATCTGACATTGTGTATGCATGATGTGCCAAAGAATTGAGAACAAATTTAAAGAAAAATATTAAAAAAAAATCATCAATATATTTTAAAAATAAAATTCTCCACATGTTTAACTTAGAGAAAAAGAAAAATGTTCATTCGATAAAACCACTGTCAGGCTCAAGGACAATTCTGATGTGGCTTCTGAGACGACTGCATGTCCAAATCAGGTGGGGTCTATTCTTGTTGGACATGACATTCACGAAGGTGGTCGTTTGCAAGTCGTTTTGTTCATATTGCGGGACCACTGATTATTCTCCCCTCTGAATAACTCTCCAAATCAGAATGTTTTGTGGGACAGACTCCAGTTGAAATACGTATAGCCGTTGATTCAGGGCTTAATCACCGAGTCTAGCACCTCGATGTAAGTGTGGCTGCGTTGACCTGGAGAAGCCTCATTTTTTTTCACGAAAGAAAGAGCGTCAACGTAGCATCCATCACTGCGGGGCCAGTTTGTTGAGAAATCACCTCGTAGCTCCATTCAAGTCGCTGTGATTTATGGCTAGTGTCAAAAGATCGGTGTGTCAGAAGGCATTTGCCTAGAGTGTTTGCCAACCAAGGCTGTAGGGCCCACTCTGTACAGCTATTTACTCATCTGATCCTCTATTCCTCATTCCGAGCCGTTACCCATTATAACACCGCGTATCCACTCCGACACACTATCTCTCTTTCTCTCTCTCTCCCTACTCTCTCTTTCTCTATGTATTTCTCTCTCTCCCCACTCTCTCTTACTCTATCTTTCTTTCTCTGCCTCTCTTTCTCTCTCTCTTTCTCCGTCTCTATTGCTTTCTCTCTCTTTCCCTCCCCCCCTCTCTCTCTCTCTCTCTATATATATATATATGAAGAAATATAGTTTTAAGGTATGCTATATTTATGAAATAAAGTGCTCGATATCAGAGATAGAGCGTGTGTAAATATAAATATAAAAGTGAACAATGAAGTCATCACTCAGAGGCGACAGGCTGTTTCATGCTGGACGCACTGACGATTGCGTTTAGCATGAAACAGTCTCTCGACTCTGAGTGTTGACTTCATTTTTATATTTATATAATATATATATATATATATATATATATAGAGAGAGAGAGAGAGATAGGTGTGTGTGTGTGTGTGTGTGTGTGTGTGTGTGTGTGTGTGTGTGTGTGTGTTGTCATAAGAATCAATACTGTGTCCTTTTTACCAATTTCATGCTTCAATGTATGTGTGATTTCATGCCATGGAACTTGAAACAGACAGAACTTATTTTATTTCCACACCCTTTATATCTGTAAACATTCTCCCTCCGATACTGATCACCCTTTTCTTATAAATGTAAAAAAAAAATTAAATAATATGTATGTATGTATGTATAGCTGGCGACTCGTACTCAAGGATACTTGTCTACTAGGGTGGCTAGCCAATCCATATTGCAGACGCTTGCTCAGCTGCATTTGTGTTTATTCAACACCCACAGAGCCCACCTGTGGTTTTTACTGCATCAATGCTGAGCAGACCTGCTGGGAGAGAGCGTGTTATCTAGCGTGATCAATAATCTGAACAAAGCCAGTATACTCAAACCCTCTGTCACGATGACTTGTGACTTCGTGCTAGCACAACTATCGACGGCCCCAAGTGTTACGTCTACCCAATTTCACTCACAAGGCTTGGATCAACCCGTGGTATGGTTTTCAGGAACTTTCCAAAGGTGCCGCACGCTGGGTTCGACCTCTCCAGTCGGATAATATCCTTCCTGACAAATCGACCATGGTGAGATTCGAACTCGGGTCTCATGGTCAGAATGCGAGCGTTCTAACCACTACAACCAACATATATATCAATAAATAAAGTTTAATGGGTCACATATCTAAAAAATATTTTGCCTTCATTTTTCCCAAATTATTATGATGCCATTATAGACTGTAATGCAAATGTGAGTATTCACTTTGTCTTTGAGACTGAGGGGAAGATACAGGCCTGAATGCAAGATGATAATGAATATTGGATACACACATGTATTGCAAGAAGAAATGTCATATGAAATTTATTATATTGAAGAACACTAAAAGTCTTAGTCAGTACTTAATATGATTTCCATTGCTTTGAACGGCAGCCTCAAATCGACGTGAGATGGGCATTATGTCTTTGTACAATCCAATCTTATAACCCTGCAATACCGTGATGAATGAGGGACTCATTTATTTCAAGATACTCCGCCATGTTGCCAAGAATTGGGACGTTAATAAGATATTTAAATAGTCGTCCCTTTGTAGAGCTCCAGGAAGTTCCTGATTCTTTCGGACATGGTTGATTAACAACAATAGTTAGATTAAACCAACAAATTAAGATTAAACTAACAAGAGTTAGATTAAACCAACAAATCGACTATTGTTTCTGTGTCTGAGTTGGAGCTGCACAATCCTCACTTTTCAGCCTTGACAGCGGGGTCAAAATCGTGTACGCTGTCTTGTGGGGGCGGTAACTTATTTTCCACCATGCAACCTCTTTCCCCCCAGACACAACGTTGCAAGCCTGTCGCCATTCTATCTCTATTTCCATGGCAAATGTTCAGATGATTTCCACTTTTCAGTACAGTTTCTGATTTTTTTTTTTATTTCTTTACTGTCCTGCTTTTCTTTTCTTAATTTCTGTTTTTCTTTCTTTATTTATTTCTTGCTTGCTTGATCGATTTCTTTACACTTTCATTCTGTCTTTCTTTCTAAGTCTGTTCATGTCTAATTATATTTGCTTCTCTCTCCTTTTCTTTATTTCTCACTCTCAAAATCTCATTGCCTTTATCCATCTCTGTTTCTGTCTGTCTCCCTCTTCCACCCTTCCCCACTCTGTTCATCGCCCTGTCTTTTTAAACGGCAAGATTGAAGAGTTTTTGATATGTCCCGGAAAGGGATATATTTGTTCGAAGTAGCAAAATAGTTTTGGACTACTGTAACCGGGTAGAACAGACTAGCAGGTAACCGTAATGGACTGGTCCTCGTCGTAGTGGTAGGCAATAGGCGAAGACTATAGGCGTAGCCAATAGGCGTAGCCAATAGGCGTCCTTCATGTACCTCCACATCAGTCTGTATTTATGGCTGACACCAGCCAATCATATTACTGTGAGGGGGAACCCAGGTGTATGCATATTCATTACATCAGTTTTCAATCACAACTAAAAGCTACTACTAATTATTGATACATCTATGCCATCTCAACTTTATTCTTGACGCAGAACAATCGTTCATCTTGTCTGGATTATCAATATTTTTGGCTAGAATTGCTACATAGCTCCTGTTGGTTTTTCCACTCTCGACAGGATTTGTGTATTTCTTTCGTCCTTTTTCAAAAGGAGCAAGGGGGGTGTTAAACGATTTGTGCATTAATTATGTGACAAATCCCCGCACATTAGAAACGAGATATGAAATTAACGGTTATGAAATGTCATCTCTTCTGTGACACAATCATGTCATTTTGTAAATATAGTCTCAAGTATTTTAAGTATCTCTTTCTTAGCGAAATGCTCCAATTTACGTTTGTTAATCATTTATTTGTCCCGAATTGTTATGGGAAAACTTTTCGGGTACTTTAAATTATTCTAATGATAATCGAGTAAAACTCTATTGAGACCGTAACTAATTTGTCAGTTAATGGAAAACAAGAAATATAAAAGAAACGGGAAAAGACGCGAATGGGTAATTAATTTCGAAAACAAATTTGTCCGAAAATGAATTAAATAAGAGATAAAAAATTGAATGAAAGGAAAGAAGAAAATAGAAATAGTAAGAAGTGAAAGGAGAATAGACAAAGAAAAAGAGGAGGAGAAGAAATGCAAGAAAAAGATAGAGAAAAAAGTCGAGGAATAAAAATAAAGAAAAAAGAACAAAGAAGAAACAGAAAAGAGAAGAAAGAAAGAAATAACTTACGAAAAAGGAATTGGAAAAGAAAAAGAGGAGAAAAAGATTGAAATAGGAGTAGAGAAGGAACAAGCGACAGGAAGAAAAAGAAAGGAAAACAAAAAGAAAAACTAAAGGAGAAAAGAAAAGAAAATACTAAAAATAAATTTGTCTTTGTAAGGACGACGAAGTTATACAGGCAACATTAATGGGAAATATATGCTTTATATTTTGAAACTAGTTTTAGAAGTCATGCATTCATTAACTGTGTGAGCAGTTTTATTTCTTCATGTGATACATACGTGGCAGACATAAAAACATTCCAAAATTGATCTTTGCTAAGAAACTGCCATTCACCAATGTAAACCTTCCTCTTAAAAATGCTATACAAATCGAGTTATGGTCGCGGACAAAAAAGCAACCAATACATGAAAGGACTCCGTTAAAAAACAATTAATTAAGATATTCATGGGCTTTTTATGAATATTATGGATCGTTTTAGTGTGTGACGTCGCCCCTCCTCCGCAGCGTCGCAGCGTCGTTCGTTCGCGGCTCAACTGTGACGTGACGTGATGTGGCCGCCCAAGGGTCGATCCTTGTCACGGACAGCACCAGTTGTGACGTTTTTGCCGCGGCGTCAGTTGTTCGCTCCTCGCTGCTCCAAGTGTGACGTTCCAACCCTCTGGTTAGATGATTACCAGCCTCGCCGTTCCCAACTCGCTTCCAACACCTGGTTACTAGGGTAACTGTACTGATCTCCGGTCTGCCTACCCACGTTGTGATTAGATCTTAGACAGACGGGATCAAACAGGAGTCGGGGCCGTATGCCAGCTGGGTTCAACGGGGGTGGCAACACACAAGCAAAAGAAAAAAAACTCACGAGGCAAAAAATTACTGATAAGAAAGGGTAACAACCTTTTTTATATCTAATGTTCGTTACATAAAATTATTCTTACTTCCCGACCCGTTTTGTGGACTGTGGCACCAAGCTTCTATCATACAATTTAAAGACTTCGAGTTGCCTACTCTCTAGAATTTTGTATGTCGGAGTGTGGTTTGGTTTCGACACTGGGCGCTAATCTCTACCAGTCGTTCACGGCTGATTCTTCTCTTCGGCTTGAGTTGGACGAGCTTATTCGCTTCGGCTTGAGTTGGACGTATTTCTTCACTTCGATTTGGGTTGGACAATTTCCACCCTCAGGCTTGGCCTGGTTTCAACTTCTTCTAGACGCAACTGCAAGTAACTTCTTCTTCCGTCCTGCAACTCTTCTCGCCAAGGTCCGAACTCTTCTCTCTGCCGTCTGAGGTGATCTCTTCTCTCTGCCTTCCGGGGCTGAACTGTTCTGCTTGTTTGGCCTGCAACTTTATTGCCTGTCTGGCCTGCAATTCTTCGGCTTGTCTAGCCTGCAATTCTTCTGCTGGTCTGGCCTGCAGCTCTTCTGCTTGTCTGGCCTGCAGCTCTTCTGCCTATCTGGCCTGCAATTCTTCGGCCTGTCTGGCCTGCAGCTCTTCTGCCTATCTGGCCTGCAATTCTTCGGCCTGTCTGGCCTGCAATTCTGCTCCAACTTCTCTGCGGCTTTCGAGCAATTTTCTTCTCTTCGACTTGGCTGCAACTTCTCTGCCTGTCCGGGCCAAACGGACCGACCCTTCTTGCCAGCAAGGGGCGAATGAGCAGGGCCCGCCGTCCGCTCTCCAACTGCTCTGGCCGTCTACCACGCAACTCTCTGATTTCTGTCGGTTGGGGTTCTGCTTTTATTGACGCCGCAACAAACTGGGGTGGGTCTGTCGGCGTCAGGGTTCCTTGATAATTCCAAAAGTCGCATTAGTTCTGATTTCCCATTATCGCTCTTATTTTCACCCCTACTTCCTCACAGTGCCTCTGGGGGGGGGGAGGCGCATACCCATCTCTCCCGGTCTCTCGTATGTCAGGTGACCGTTTTCGACCAATGGGTCCTGGTCGAGCGTCCTTTCTCCTCTTTCTCGCATATCACGTGACCGCTTTAGGCTAATGAGATTCTGGTTGGGCGTCTCCGTCCTTCGTGACGTCTCCAATCGGGCGTGGCCTATCCCGGCTTTGTTCTGGGAAAGGAACACCTTGCTAAAAAAAAAAAAATCAATTTGGCCTTTTTCGCACGCACGAAAATGACAATCTCGGCCTTTCTCACCTTTTGGTTTTGTCAAAACAGCCCGCCGCTAATTAGATGTGACTTCAGGAAGAATTTTTCTCGTCTCGCTGGCGCTTTCTGTGAGCCAAAACAATTGTTTTCATTCCTTTATTTTCGTTCAGGCCTGACAGTCAAAATCTTAATTATCTGAATTGAAAAATATCCTCACTTCATCATCGTGGGGTTCTAATCTTCAACAGGTCAGGATCTGTATACAATTCAGCGGTCACCTTCTCATTCCAAAGACACCCCTTTCCGAGTAATGTTTCGTTTTGCATTGTTCTAAAAATCCCATTTCTCCAAATTGATAATGAGCTTCTACATTTCGTGGACACAAAAGTAGGCCAGATGTTTTGACCGATATTTTTATCAATCGTACGTATGTTCATCCACTTTTACCATGTCCGTTCATTATCTCTAAACTTATTCCTTCAAATAACAATTTCCATTGTTCTTGAAATTCGGTCAGGCGCGTTGGCCTAGATATCTCTTGACACCTGTTTTCGCTTATGACCGGCTTATCTATTTCTCCTCCTCTCCTTTTCTTTTCTTCTTCTTCCCTTAGGATCGCCTAAATACAATTAGAGAAATATTCTCAAAACTTAATTACTCTTCGTCTAAATAACTAACAACTGGTTAATAAACCGAATAAAAATTAAATCATATTTCTAGGAATATTTCTTTTTAGTTTTTCTAATAATGCAGGGTGCCACAAGTGCATAAAATATTCTTTACGTTCTTTCTGAAAGTATTTAGGCGCTTCTTGAACAATTGTTTCATGTGTGTCTTCAAAAATCAATGTTTTTATGAGTTGTTATTTTCAAACCATCTCGAACTCACCATAGTGTATAGTGTACATTTCACAAACCATATTCTGTTATCCCAAAACATTATGCTACCTTCAATCTGTTAACATATTTCAGACTGTGAAGATAATTTGCACCAGGAGAAACCGAGAATGTGCTACGACAATTTGGCTTATCTTTTCTAAAATGAACAACTGAAAAAATTCGTCTTCAGATATTTTATTGACCTATTATTCGATTTTTCTTCTGGTGATCTTTTCAAGGGGGCCTCGCAATCAGTTCCACAGGTTTTACCAACGATTTACGACCTGTGCTATTTGTGTCTTCCGATACATCAGCGCATTCATGACACCTAAACTCTTCAGAACTTGACAAAGACGTATTCTCCGTTGATACTTGACAAAGATCGGAGATATAAAGTTTTCAAACTGACCTTATTGTACCTACGCCGTAGTTATCCAAGATATTCAACGAATGTTTTCACAGTTCGATGCTTACAATTCCCAGTGTTGTTTTACAATTTGCAAAGTTCCGTACTCATGAAACGTTTGTTTTTATCCATCAAATCAGCTCTTTCATCCATTTTAAAGTTTGAAACTCGTAGCCCACCTATTGAGATTCTAAAGATCAGGGTAATTCTTACAAATGTCTACTGTTTGTTTGACACCCCCGCAAAACGAACCAACATTGTTTACACCTCCACAAAATGAACCAACATTGTTTACACATCCACAAAATGAACCAACATTGATTACACTTCCGCAAAACGAACCAACATTGTTTACACCACCACGATATAAACCAACATTGTTTACACCACCACGATATAAACCAACATTGTTTGCACATCCACAAAACGAAGCAACATTTTTGACACCTCCACAAAACAAAGTAACATTGTTTACACATCCACGAAATGAACCAACATTGTTTGCACATCCACTTCACGAACCAACATTGTTTATACCTCACAAAAAGAACCAACATTGTTTACACATCCATAATCGAAGCAACATTGTTTACACCTCCACAAAACGAACCAACATTGTTTACACATCCACAAAATGAATCTACATTCATCGACACTGCGCAAATGAATGTTGCCTCATTCATCAAAAAACAGAAACAAAAAATGTTACATTCAGATAATTATTTATTTAATTATATCAATAAAATATGAAGAGTGGCTAATAATTAGACGCAGTAAACTAACTCTGGTGGTTTTGAGCGAAAATTATGTGACAATAAATCTCCTCAAATCTCCATCAGTTTTTGCATTCAGACTGTTTTCAGTAATTGTCGTCTGGACTCTTGACTTTCCCCTGATTTCAAGTTCAACTAACTTTCTTCCTAAATGCTGTTCTCAGTGCTCCGATAGCAACTGCCACGACTGTTACTTTCGTATTCCCTAACTTCCTCATCTCTCTAGCAAGATCGTTGTATTTATCTGTCTTTCAAAATTACTCTCTGGTCAACCGGAATAAAGAAATGTTCTATTTGGCACATTATATTCTTGTTCACCCCTACCAAACCCAGTTTTTTGACTTGGATTCCCAAATTCTCAAAGGATTTTTGTACAGTTTCTAGTCTTTAAATGTACCATTAGTGTGTATGGTCGAAAGGTTGTACAGTTTTCAGTCACCTTCCCCAATCTCGCTATTCAGGCAATCATCCACAAAGTCGAATCATCTTCATTCGCTTCCTATTCCATTGGTAAGGAGGAAGTTCTATTCGAACACAATCTTCCCAAGATCCAGTGAATTGTGAAATAATCTCACTATATGATACTTTACTGATCACTCTAGACAGAAAGTTGTTTAGATTGTAGTCACCCGTTATCTATCCTACATATCATCATAATTAGCACTTCTTACCTCCCCCTCCTCCCCTTCTTACGTCTATAAAACAATCTCATTCAGTGATCTGTGACACCTTGTGTGGCTCTTGGGCCTTGTAGTGAGAGAATAATTAATAAAAATAATACAGCTAACACTGACCATACCACATACACAGGGTCGAATCATACCAATGGAATATGAGAGAATGAGTAAGGAGGGAGTATTATTCGGACAGCTTCTTTCCAAGAGCCGCTGATTTGTGGAACAGACGCCCGAAATGATGCTTTTTTTTTTTAAAATCATTTTGCCCCAAGCAAGGCAATAAAGCCACTAAGACCTTGCCGGCAATCTAGTACTTTGCTTAACTTCATAGGTACGTTACATGGAGGTTAGTCAGAATAATTGCTATGAAAGTATTTATAGAAATGGCTTTCCCCGGACATTACAATTTGAATCCCTTCAAGTCTTATGTCAACTGTCATCTACGCAATATGTCCTCATAAACTGCAGAGGCTCTCTCTCCTCTTACTTTCATACAACAATATCATTTTGTAATCTTGAATATTCTAGTGGATGAACATTTATTACCCCCCCCCCAAAAAAAAAACTATGCTAATTTTTGTATTCTTCTGACCCAACATGCAGGATTCGTTGATTACGTTTATTTCCAAGAATTCTTCATTTGCTGTTTACCTGTCTTTCATCTATCTTTACCTTTTATCCTTAGGGGAAGGTACGCTTTTAAAAGTATCTTAATTTTTCTTTTTAGGGTGGGGGGGATGGTATGACAGTATTATTAACACATAGCTTGAAGAGAGCTGTGGCACTTGTTGTCACTTGATCGCCAATAAAAACCAATAGTGATAATGTGAAAATTCAATCAATCGTTTCAATAATGTGAATATGATTCCAAAGTTAAGAAAAAAAAAGAAAACCCATATGATTAACGAAGTACTCAGTTGCTAAATGCGGCAATAAAAATTAAAAGATTGAGTCAGCATTTGAACTTCAGCAGCAATAGTACAAGTAGCGCAGGATAAAATAATACTGATCATAATACCGGGGCTGCCGATTTCTATTTATAAAAGATCTAAAAAGATGATATGAATGACGATGATGGCGGCGATGATGGTAGCGGTGGCTGTAGAAAGTTTAGGAATGATAGGAATGCCTCTCTATCTTAACAGTTAGTGACTCTTCCCGGGTATTTAGGTATTAATGTCTTATTTGCTTGTTAGATATGTTGTTCACTTTGAGAGAACTTTTGGCTTCTTAGCAGATGAGGAGCGCAGGGGGGGGGGAGAGGCGAGAGAGGAGAGAAGAAGCCAAAGGTATGGCAAGTTGTTTGAGATTGGATTAACATCAGGTGTCTGTGTAGGTATCTTAAGTTTCGCCGCATTCAGTGGTTAAAGAAAATGGCGTTAAGGTGGGTAACACTGAAAAAGAAAAACTTAAATAGATAGGAATATAGACTGGGATAGACTTTAACAGTTATAGGTATCTAGGAACACACACACAAAATTCTCTCTTTCTCATCATCTATCTATCTATCTATCTATATATATATATATATATATATATATATATATATATATATATATATATATATATATATATATATATATATAGAAATGGACAAATGGACAATTTAATTAAAGACATTTTTTTATGTTTAACGTTCTTTTTATAGATACAGTATTTAAGTAAATGCTCTGTTTATAATAAACAGTAT